AGTCGACTCATCCCCTTCTTGTACACGGCGTTGATGTTGGTCTTCCAGTTCAGCCTGTTGTCGATGGAGACACCCAGGTACTTGTACTCCTCCACCATGTCAACGTCCTCTCCCAGAACTTTCACCGGTTGTGGAGCCGTCGTCTTCCTCCTGAAGTCGACCACCATCTCTCTGGTCTTGGCCACGTTCAGACGCAGGTGATTTCTACCGGCCCACTCTACAAAGTCAACCACTACTGTCCTGTACTCCTCCTCCCGTCCGTCCCTTATACACACAACCACTGCAGAGTCATCAGAGAACTTCTGCAGATGGCATGACCCTGAGTTGTACTGGAAGTCAGTGGTGTACAAGGTGAACAGGAAAGGAGACAGGACAGTTCCCTGTGGGGCTCCAGTATCACTGACCACCGTATCAGACAGCACACGGCCTAGTCGGACAAACTGTGGTCTGCCTGTGAGGTAGTCAGTGATCCAGGAGATGGTGGATGCGTTAACCCCCACCACCCGCAGCTTCTCACTCAGCAACACTGGTTGGATGGTGTTGAATGCACTGGAGAAATCAAAGAAAGTGATTCTCACAGAGCCACCGGTTCCATCCAGGTGCGACTGAGCTTGTTGCAGCAGGTAGATGATGGCGTCGTCCACCCCCACATGAGGCTGATATGCAAATTGCAGAGGGTCCAGTGAGGATTTCACCTGCGGTCGAAGGTGGGCCAAGACCAGCCTCTCCAGCACCTTCATCATATGAGATGTGAGGGCAACTGGTCGGTAGTCATTGAGGCTAAATGGTGTCGTCTTCTTTGGTACGGGAACCAGGCACAACGTCTTCCACAGCACCGGGACTTCCTCCTGCTTCAGGCTCAGGTTGAAGAGGTGTTGAAGGACATTAGACAGCTGGATGGCGCAGGTCTTCAGGACCCTGGGGCTGATGCCATCAGGTCCCGCAGCCTTTCCTTGATGGAGTCGCTCCAGCTGTCTTCTCACCTGGCCAGTCGTCACAGAGAGGGGGGAGGGGGGTCATAGTGTCGGTGGTGGCAGAGCCCTTTGAAGTGGAGAGCTCTGAGTCCATGCAGCACACCAGGGGGGACAGAGGGGGAGGTGTTTGGGAGGTGTGGTGTGTGGAGGAGACAGATGAGGGCTCTGAGCTAAACCTATTGAAGAAACAGTTTAGCTCGTTGGCCCTCTCCAGGGAGCCCCCTGGTTGTCTCCCTCCAACCTTGAAGCCGGTTATCTGCTTCATTCCAGTCCACACCTCCTTCACGTTGTTCTGCTGGAGTTTGGCCTCCAGCTTCCTCCTGTAGGTGTCCTTGCACTCTCTGATCTTCATCTTCAGGTCGCGCTGGACACTCCTGAGCTCGTCCCTGTCCCCCGGCCTGAAAGCTGCTTTCTTCTTGTTAAGAAGAGCTTTCAGGTCACTGGTGATCCATGGCTTGTTGTTGGGGAAGCAGTGTACTGTCAGGGATGGTATGACGGTTTGTTCACAGAATTTGATGTATTCTGTGATACAGTCCGTCATGCTGAGGTCTTCCCCATGTGGTCCACACAGCACACCCCAATTTTATAATTTAATAATTTTTCTTAAATACACTACATGCATTATAATTTCTAAAAATATTTTTCCCATTATCTTATTTTCTCATTGCACAGCTACTGTCTTCCTCTGTTGCTCTGTTTCCAGTGCAGCTTGTTTTAAGTAGAGCTTTTATCCAATCAGATTTCACCTCTGTGTCTCTAGGTAAGAAGAGAGGCAGAGGCCTGCAGAGTCTCAGGTGCATCCAGTGCAGTTTAAGTGAATGGGGACGATATTGTTGATTGTCATAGTGTTCAACCAATCAGATCTTTAGTTTGACATGTTGGGCGTATTCTTTGACGTATCAGAGCCTGCGCGTATAATGACTTCAGCATTACATGCCGCTCAGTGTCCATGTGTAGCTCTGCCGCGAGGTGCAGAGTGTGCTGTGATTGGTCAGTGGGCGAGCATGTGACTATCGTGAAACGAAACTTAACAGCAGAGGCTTAGTCGGGTAGTGAATCACATCACGTAATGCAGCTCAGCCAATCAAATATGGCCATTCTGACCCGAGTGAGATGTACCATGAGACGGGGCTGAGACGAGGAAAGACATTGCAGAGCAATACGTACTATGTTCAAGTTGTGAAAGTAAAATCCTATGATAATCTCTTTGGGTCGTGGCTTGTCATTAAGGAATGATGGAGGATCCCATAGCCAGACCAGCTGAGAACATTATATTTTCCTGAATTTAGGCTGCTCTAGCATTATTCGAACAACTTGTACCGAATGGTTTGATACGAAGATGTACATAGTTACAGCCTTAAAAATGAATAATAGCTGTGGTGCCATCATGTGGTTATAAGGTGGTATTTCAGATGCAGGACAGCAGGGAAGGCCTAGGTATAAAATGCACGGCCCGCCACTGACTTTGACCAATACTTGTCCACTATTTCTGGTTATTCAGAGCAGATAAAGGTTTTTTCAGACATGGATACTTTTGGAAGAAAACTTTGAACTAGACCAGTAATTCAATTATTAACTAAACAATGATTGGATACTCTACTAGTTCTTTCCAAATCTGAGACTTTGACAGGTTTATGGTTTATTCATTTCTTGACACGAGACGAGTTGAACGCAGCAGAATTTTCACCAGCGAGGATTTGATTCCTTAGCTGAGGAGAAATTGTAGCTGCATCTGGAAAGAATGGCTGCGGGGACTACATTACCCAGTGTTCTATGCGGCATGACGTCAATAGAGAGCGCTCCGGCTTCAGTAGTAGTTCACCGGCCAGCTTTCGGGTAGTTCTCAAGTCTGAATTGCATCCCCGTTTCCCTCACTTGGGTCCTTTCCTTGCGTCTTAGTCCCTCCCACCAGGGAGGCATGATTTCCTCCATGCCTCCCTGGTGAGAGAGAGGAAACGAGGAAATATGTTTTAAGAGACATGAGACGTCCTTTCACACATCTGGATCAGCTGTCAGTCGGCTTTAACAGCTGGAGAGACTTTTGATATGTTTGTGTCTGTTCACATGATCACTGTACTTAATAATAGTAACTAATAATACTTGTAACTAATAAAGACACACAGTAATCATCAGTGTAGAGGTGTTTCTCTCTGTAGTCTGTTACCTCTTTAACAAACTGTGTTCTGTTTATAAGCGCAGGATCGATTTCTACTGGCAGAATGCGTCTGTATACGTTTTGAAATTCAGATTGTGACGTCATTATTAATTAACCCAGAATATGATTGTGGTTTCTCTTGAATACTAAAATAAATGTATCAGGCTAAACTTGGTAATACAAATATTCAAAATGAACAGGAATTCCAATTCAAGCGTATAATCTGTTAATCCTGCAACACACTGATCAAGATTTAAACAGGAATTAAATTGAAAAATCAAAAATTAAATGAATAGATCGGTCCCATTGTCATCAAACGATGACAGTATTAACTGACATATTAAAAAGAGACATTAAATAAGTTAAAAACATGAGTAAGAGTTACTCGTATTTTAGAATAAATTCAACTGTTGCTGACTGATTCTGACAACCATATGAGTTATGGCTTTGGGACGATAAGGAGGGAAGAAGAAAGCAAGAGTCTTTGCTCTACTAAGCGACACCTGTCCTAAACCATTATCATCATGCAGAAATCATCACAAACGAGTGTCGCGATCTGGGAAGCTCGTCAAGTCGTTTAGGATTAACAATCAGCAATCAGCACAGATTACAGCTCATGAAAAAATAAAAAAGAATTCTCCCTGCTTCGGCAATTAGGACATCTAGCCGATCTCAAATCAGCTGTGTGTGTGTTTGTGTGTGTGTGTGTGTGTGTGTGTGTTTGTGTGTGTGTGTGTGTGTGTGTGTGTGTGTGTGTGTGTGTGTGTGTGTGTGTGTGTGTGTGTGTGTGTGTGTGTGTGTGTGTGTGTGTGTGTGTGTGTGTGTGTGTGTGTGTGTGTGACGCAAAGCACTGCTGAAAAACTTGTGTTCCGGCAACTTCCTTCCAACCACTCCACGCTCACTTCTACTCCAACTTTCACATTCTGTCCCATTTCCCCCACCTATTTGCTATTCCCCCGGAGCTTCTTAAGTAGCAGCACGCTAGCAGCTGATCCCTCAGGCCGACAGTCTGGCGCGCGGCTAGCGACTAAGTGTCAGTGTAACAGATGAGGCCACCGTCCACACTGACCTGTTTACAGACACTAAAATCGTTTGTCCGCAATGGCTGGAAAGATGAACTGGTGGCAAATGAAGACCAGCCACCGGCCCATGTTTGTTTAATCAATACATCCAACAATTCCTTGATCAATTTCATACCATCAAATGTAGATTATATAGATATTTGGGATGTTAAAAAGAAACAGTTTAAGTGCAGCAAGATGTATATCCTTCAAGTTACAGTTATATATATATATATATATATATATATATATATATATAATAAAAATAATAAGTAGTGGAGTAATGGAATCCATTGATTCAGTTTACCCATGGCAATCATCTCATAGTGTGCAGTTGAAATAGAAGACGCCCAGTTCGGTGTCATTATTCAAATTTTAAATGAAAAAAAAGCCTTCTAGTTTAATATTTGAATTAGAATATTAAACTGATAAGTCGGACTCCCTGAGCGGCTTTACAGCTCAGATAGAATGGCAGGTGTCGGGAGTGAAGATGGATTACTCCGAGGTCTCAGTGCACTTGGTAGAGAAGACCGGGTGAGACATAGAGACAGCTGTAAGGTGATAGGTGATATACTGTATATTACACTATAGTTTGCGATGCACGGACTCTTTCAGAAGTAGTAAACCAAACAGGAGACAAGAGGATTGGGGCACGGAACATATCAAGAATGCTTGAGAGCGTTACTGCATTATGTTCCATTATATTTTTAGAATTTGAATTGTCACATGGCGCCTGAATTTAGTGTTTTCCTTGACAAAAATAAAGACGCCATAAATTGTTACAGAAAAAAATCACCAGAATGCAGGAAATTAAGTGTTTGACGCCTTAACATTTTCTGGGGGTGCTCCCCCAGAACCCTCCTGGCTTAAAATATGTGTCCCCACCAGAGTTTTATCTTTAGCCAGGCACATGCTAAAAGAGGCCTTTACTAAGTAGCCACCAGTGTGGATACCAGCAACGTAACTGTGAGTGACAGGCCCTGTGTTGTACTCAGCCAGGCAACCTCCAGTTCTGCCGAGTGAAGCGGAAGTGTCTTAAAACTTGTGTTATCTGTACTGACCAGCAGGGGGCGACTCCTCCTGGTGGCAAAAATTAGTCCGATTGTATGGAAGTCTATGAGAAAATGACTCTACTTCTCACTTCATTTATTACCTCAGTAAACATTCTAAACATGAGTTTATGGTCTCAATCTCTAGTTTCAAGTCTTCTTCAATACAGTGTGGTGTTCATTTAGTGAATTATGGTCAAATAGACCATAAAGCATAGTATGCTTTAGAGCGGGCTTACTGTGATTTACAGGTTGCTGCCGCTACCAGAACCGTATGGCGTCTCAACGTCACTTCTCCGCATTCCAAATATGGTAACTTCTGTTCATTGGTTGCAACAAAAAACAACATGGCGACGGCTGTATTTCGAGATGGTGATGGCGAAATCGCCAACTCAAGGCTTCAAAACGGCAGTCCACAAACCAATGGGTAATGTCACAATGACTATATTCACATCTTGTACTGTATACAGTCTATTGTACTAAGCCCCTTGTGGGTTAGTCTATTCGTACCCCAGAGCCAATCTCTTCCCCCCCAACTCCCTCAAAAACACACCGGATTCCAGATGGGCAACACGTTTTTAAAAATGTGACTTAACAAGGAAGTAAGTAGAAGAAATTATTAACACAAGTTATTAAATAGCGACTGTAACAGGCTTCTGTTACCTCGTGGGTTTCCCCCAGCACAATGACGAACAGTACACTCAAACAGTTGGTGAGGAGTTTAGAGCTGGAAGAAGGAAGCAATACAAGTACCTTTTCTCCCGGTGTGAATTGTCTCTGTTGTACAGCCGTTGTTGACGTTCCTGGGCCTGGAGCAAATTCTTGCGTGACATCCGATCCAGGGTGTGGAGTTTTGCTCGCAGGTCCAGGACATATTGAATTTCACTTTTACCGGCGCTCGGACCTTCCTCCCAGTTTTCTTTAATCAGCTCGAGCACCCCCCGTGGTTTCCTGCCAAACAGCAGCTCAAAGGGAGAAAATCCCGTGGAGGCCTGGGGGACGTCCCGCACTGCAAACAACAGAGGATCAAGCCATTTATCCCAACTGCGTTCATCTTCGTGAATAAATTTACAGATCATAGACTTCGTCGGTCTGTGGGTGGTACACACTGGTCCGAATACATTTAATGCCCAGTAATCCGTAAAGTTCCCTCAGTATACGTGACATGAATGAGGTGCCCTGGTCAGTCAGAATCTTTCAGAATTCTTACTCAGGAGATGACCTGAAACAGAGCCTGCGCGACACTCTCACACCCTGCCCCATTAACTTATTAAACCCCGGCTTATCTGTTCCCAAGATTGGTGGGTGCGTAAGGCAGGAGCTAACCGCAACCTTTACACTATGTTTTTTCCCCTGTATCTAATTTCTACTGACACTATGGGATACTCATGAACATCCCCATGCACACACCTACTTTTCACCCATAATGCCTCCATCAATGCCTCGGGCCGAACCAGGCTCGGGTGAATCATAGACTGTGTACAGCCAGTATCCACCATTGCCTGATGTACACCCCCCTGGATTCTTACCGGAACGCAGTACGTCGCCCCTAGACCGGGGGAGGGTGTCGGAGGGCCAGCGACCCGAATCACCTGGCCCACCTCCATCAGCGCAGGAAGTGTCCGGGCTGCCCACACCTCCAACACTCCTGCCCTGATGTTTGACGGACCCCATTAGGTTGGGAAGAGTGCGGCGTTTGCTGGGGTCGATGGATTGGGGAACTGAAGGAGGGGTGTCAATAGGGGAGCTGGTAGGGGCCGCGCCAGGAGCTGCGGATGTAGCTTCCTCCGAGGGGCGGCCACCGGCCGGGCTAAAGCCAGCGGGCGACCACTGTCCCCCTGACCGCTGGGATGAACTGCCAGGTGGTCCTCTGCCAGGGTGATGGCGGTCCCCAGTGCCGTAGGGCGGTGGTAGCGGACCCATGCCGATGTTCGGGTTGGCAGCTCCCCACAAATTGCTCCAGGATCACCTTCCTTACCACCTCCTGCGTGCCTCCTGGGGCCCCTGGTTGCAGCCATCTGGTTGCGGCGTCCTTCAGCCGCTGTGCGTAAGCGAAGGGCCGGTCCTCTGGAGACACCCCCAGCCGATCTACAATGGCTTTACGCACGTCCGTGTAACTGTGCCTGGCTGCTGGGGGCAGCCTTAGGGCCGCTGTCTGCGCCTCCCCAGCCAGAAGAGGCAAGAGCCAGACCGCCAACTCCGCCGCAGGCCAGCCACACGCCATTGCCTCGAATGTGTCCAAGAATGACTGCACGTAGTCTGCTGCAGTCATCTTGTGCAAGACCACCCCTGTCAACATAGAGGGGCCCGGCACTGGCGGAGCTGCAGCTGTCCATGCTGCGAGCTGTTCTAGGGCGTGGGCCTGGAGCGCCCCCAGGAACTGCCTGTTCATCTCCACCTGGTCTCTCTGCATGGCCGCAATCCCACCCAGCATCTGCCCCAGCGCAATGATCGGCTGTGTCGGCATCTCTGATTGTTGCCCGTCATCCTCCATGTGCTCGCCCCACGTTGGGCTCTAGTATAACAGGCTTCTGTTACCCCATGGGTTTCCTTCAGCACAATGATGAACAGTCCACTCAAATAGAGTTTCTCAATGTTTCATAAATCAAGAGAGATGTAGAGTCATTTTCTCATAGACTTCCATACAACCTGACTTCTTTTTGCAACCAGAGGAGTCGTCCCCTGATGGCCATTAGAGAGAATGAATGTTTAAGACACTTATGCATTGGCTTTACCTATAAGAACCAGAGATTACCGCCTGGTTAGCTTATTCCTTTCTTGTCCCAGAACCAAAATGTCATTGAGCAAACGGATCGGCAACTGACTAAATGATACACCAACTTTTAGTTAACATCTCAGGCACGCACGGTGTTCAGACTTTACATTGACATTGTGTTTATACAGAGAAGATCTCCTCTGTTATGCTAATTGCGCCCAGATATTGCCAGTAATTCAAGGTTAGTCAAACAGCAGTTTGTTTGGTTGCTGGGCACGCTCGAGAGACTTTGCCCGTCGACAAATGCGCTGGCAGAGCTGCAGCCATCAATGTCACTGCACAGCCAGCACGAGGTATAGAGCATTTTGTTTCCGAGTCCAACCCTGTGTTGCACACAAAGAAAGAGGCTGGGCTGCGAGCCAGCTGAGGGTGTATTCACGAAGAAAAGTATAAGTAGTAAGTAAGCAGTAGCAGCTTGGTGTGTCTGAGAGATGAATCGAGGGAGGGTGAGATTTTGCTTCCTTCGTTAGCATATGCAGGGCTCAGATATGCATACTTTAATAGATTCCTAAGAGTTATACTGTCTATGTCAGTCACCCCAAATTAATGTCCTTGCAGCTGTTGCTGGACTCTTTAAGATGGGTCTAAACTGAATGCAGTGTGTGTGTGTGACTGTATTTTCCAAACCCTCTGCACTGTATTGTCCCCTCGAACTGTTTTCGCAAACAAATCAGCTTAGATGGCCTCAGCGCTCTTCAAAAGAGAGAGCGAGGCAGAGAGATAAATGGTACATTAAATAAAAAAAAGGGGGGGGGGATGGGAGGGGGAACATGGTTCCTTCCCCCCCCCCCAAAAAAAGAGGCACAAGCAGGAAAAGAAAGAGAGGAATTGATAAACAGGGGAGGCGGTGAGAGAAAGTCGGTATTGCGTTTTCTTCCAGTCTGTCTGGTAAGAAAGGAGGCACAAAAAAAGTGTTTTTCTTTTAGAGCTTTCATTTTTAGAAGCAGAGGATAAATTCAGTACACTGTCAGGTTGCTGGGAACACAGAATAAGCAATTTTACTCTTCATGGCCTTTCTCACTCAGGCTGATATTGTTCAGCGTTCAACCAAATGGTCAAAGGTATTATTTTAACCAGAAACGCGACTGTATCGACCCCATTAAGGTATTGCGTTGACAGATAATGGAAAAATCTACAGTGATTCCATCTGCTGATATCCAAAAAGGGAACTGAGAAATTGTCTGAATTTCTTTAAGCTGTTTTAACACTGACATGATTGAATTGCAAGATTCTTTGTGGGAGTGGCCTCTAAAGGAGGCAGCCCTGGTTCACCTTCTGTATTATCCTGCTGATCAGGGAAGCGTTAACTGTGGCTCCTGCTGACACAATGTCACCACTGAAAGCACATTTAAAGAATCCTTAGTTAGTAGTAAGTGTTTGAAATGTTGGGGCTCAGCAGCATAACGGCAGAGTTTAGCATGTATAGATTAGTGAAGAGGCCAGGGCTCAGGTCTAAGTTGTCAGGTGGCCCCTGGTCCAGAGCTTTTTGAAGTGACTGTTATTATTTCTTGTCATAAAGTCTAAATGTCTACAAAGGGACACAAAACAACCACAAACAGACGCTAAATGACCACAAAGAGGCACAAAATGATCAACAACTACTAAAAGATGCAAACTGAGCATAAAGAGACACAAAACGACTCCTAATCAACACAAGATGACTACAAAGAGACTCAAAGAGACTGAAAATGATTACAAAGAGATGCAAAGAGGCACATACAAATACAAAAAAAGAACAACCACAGAAAGACACAAAATGGCCACATAGAAAAAAAAACAATCACAGGGACACAGAACGACCACACAGAGATAAAAAACAGCCATTAAAGGTGAAAACTGACCAGAGAGAGACACAAAACAACAACAAAGGGACACTAAATGACCACAAAGACATTCCAAGAAACTCAAAACTACAAAGAAACACAAAACCGCCACAAAGAAATGTAACACTACCCAAAAGAAATATAAAACAAATTCAAAGAAACACAAAACAGCCACAAAAAAAAATGCAAAACTACTAAAAAGAAACACAAAAATGAATACAAAGAAACGCAAAACAACGACAAAGAAATACTAAAGAACTACAACGAAATCCATAACAAGCTACTTAGTAGCCTATCTGGAAACATTACATGTTTTTAAAAATAGTTATATCCAGCCCGCTATTGGGAAATGTAGTTAAACTAGCATTGCTACATGTAGCACATACTCCCCCACACTGATAATGCTGGTGTTGCTATTGCTGCATATCCGGTCATGTCCTTTGTCTCTGACACTATTGGCTTTTTAAAAAGTGTTTCAGCCTCACACAGATTACAGCTGCACACATCAGAGGCTGCTGGTGCCCTTTTGGGATACATATGAGAATTGGATTTGGCGTTAAAAGAGGATCACAATAAATAGCGGTGTCATTTACATACCTGGCAACACCTAAAACCAAATGGCTGTCACATGAATGTGAATATGTGCTCCATCTAACAACAAATGAAAAGTAGTATGCATTGGCCTGTATGCATAAGCCCTCATGTAGCTGCTATCTGACTCGTCTCAACACAGAACACAGTAGGCACAGTAACAAAGAGAAAAAGAAAAAAAGACATTTTTGTTTTCGAGCTACAGGTCCTGATGGACGAGGTGCAGAGGCATTCCTCAAAACATCCAGCAAGGAATTGAAAGGTAACAGAGAGAACCGCATTTGGGATGTATACATCCCAGTCTGTTCAACACACTCTCAAGGCAGTTCGTGAAATAGTCACGCATTGCGATCTACTGGTTTGTTGTACAGGGGACAGGAATTGTCGCTCAAACCTTTTTGGGACGACCTTATGTTAAAAACATAAAAAACAACATTAAAAAAAAAAGTTAGTTTTCGACTAACTAACCAGTTAGTTTTGGAGAAAACATCATGGTTGCGCTTAAAATAACTACGTATAGTTAGGTTTAGGCATCAAAACCACATTGTTAGGTTTAGGAAAACTGTCACGAATGTTTAGGCAACAAATCCACAACCATAAAGCCACAACGCGACGTAGAACATCGGTTTCATGGTTGAAAGTCTTGTGTTTGTTGTATCCATACACCACATGCATTTAATTTGTGTTTCACTATGAAAAAGGATCCTAATTAAACTTCCATTGGCATTTTTTTCATCCTGAGTGACACAAAAAAAAACCTAGACAATTTGTGTCCATGTACACAAAACCAATAGATTGCTATTTTACGATCTGCCATGATACTGGGCTGCTCTGTCAGTACTCACACCTTCAGACTGTTTCTATAATATGATATATATATATATATATATATATATATATATATATATATATATATATATATATATCACTGTCACTGGTGTGGCTATTATCTATACTAAGATCTTTGCAAACTGGACTACTTTTGCAATGAGGCTCATTTACATCTAAAAGGGGCCAATTCTGCAGAAAATGTATGCTTAATCCTTTTTGTGAATTCACCCAACAGTTTACAAAAAAATCTCTTCTAACCTATAATCCTAATAAACCGTTCCTGATCTATGTTCTACCTCCGTGATACTTGTGTGTTCTCGACATTGTGTCGGAGAGGAACTGATTAAAGTCAGTGGCCATCATTATGGTTGTAGTTATTGGACTGTAATTCAATAAAAAGTCCAATAGAACAGCACCATAATGAAAGGCGTCGCCTCTCTGACAGTATCAACAAAAGCTGAACTTAATTGCAACTCCGCAAGCATCACAGATGTAGGATTTGTTTCATGACAGTTCCATTAATCATGACATGCAGGGGTTTCTATTATTGCCTAAGTCATTGTAAAACACACATAGCCTGAATTAGATTTTCTCTTAACTAATAGAAATTGTGGCACACCACCAAAGCAATCAGCGCCTATAGAGAGTAAGATGT